ACCGCATGTATAGAATACAGTCTTCAATTAGTGTTTTTAGCTTCATCATGAATAAGTCTTCGTAAAGCGGTCCCAGCGGAGACCCCGTGGTCACACCCTCCTTTTTTTGATATACCTCATCGTTCGTGCAGTTGTTTCAGGTCATCCAAAGGGAGGCCGAGCTCTGCATTATTAGTTTGTACGTAACTGCACAATTGTTCAACCGTTTGCTGATGGGAACATTTGTGAACAACGAGTTGACGTCCAGCGAGAGCGTTGTTCGATCAACAAATTTTATATCATGAATTGTGTTCCCAAACCCAAATGTTTCTTTGGCACCGGTTCTAATAATTTGGCCAATCATTTTGCCAGTGCATGGGGCATTTGGTGATCGGTCCTAATGGTACTCCATTTTGTGCACTTTTCACAATCCATACAACCTCGGAATAACAGTCCTGGTTGGCCTAATACTTTCGAAAGTAGACGCATCAATGACTCCCCTCTGTTTTAATCATCGCAAAATCTCAGAAGGTGCCCCTTCTATTTGGGCCGACTTTTCCTTTTCCGTCAATTTGGTGAATTTCGACCAGGCACTCAATATGATATTCATCTTGTCTCTGCAGTCCATACGATTTGGCAGCCCAATCCCCTTTCTATTATTCGTTGTGAATAGTGTGTTCTATTTTTACTAGTTCATTTGTATTCATTTTATTACCAAATACTGGTATATATATTGAGATCAAGTCAAGTCAAGGCGGTGGTAGCTTTATGCACCCGAATGGGTGAATTTTCAGTATTTACACTATGTTTGTGGATTTAAATCATCCATAATGAAACTGAAAGTAGTAGATTGTGTTTGTCAATAAAGCAAGCGGTTGCGCAACTCTGTGGAAATTTTGTCCTTTTCTATAAGTAGACATGCTAGATATGGTAGAACAGAATTACGATAAGCAGAGGTACGTGCGAATAAAAGTTTAAATCTTGAGCGTGTGGATGATGTAGATACAGCTCTTGAAAATTCGTTGTGTAATGAGTGGTGAGTTTCTGAGAGTATTTCGGCTGTGAAACTTTTACATGCTTGTAAATGTCTGTTTATAATAGATGCGTTTCGGAGATCTCGCCAGTAAATTAGAGTCTTTCTTTAGCATACCAGGAAAAATCACTGAGGAGCAATATAACCAGGGGGAGCACGCACGCATTCACAAACCTAATAATCAACTTGTGGGGGACAGAAAGTATTCTCAATCGGAGTGAGAAATATGGAAGCTTTTTGACTTTACATAATGTGTTTTGAACATTCAGTGATCATGGTAAAGTGTGTGATAATGTGACACCAAGGTATCTTACCGTTTTCGTCGTTGGTACAGGTTCATAATTGGTAGAGAGGGTGGAGAACCTATCTGTGAGGGCTTAATATGGTACATCGGTCGAGGTAAAACACAACATCCTGACATTCAATGAAAGGGACCGGGAAAAGAACAAGATGTACCGGCATGCATACGCATCTCTGAAAACTAGTTTGGTCGCCACTCTGTTGTTTTGTTTAAGATATATACGTGCTTATGTTTTGTGTGTAGCATTCATTCCCGGCCGCAACAGTCTTCTTGTGTGGATAGATTCTTCTAAACAAATTAAGCTCAATATTGACGTACATACTGGTTACTGGAAAACTCTTGTCATTTTCTGGTGTGAAAATCGAACTCAGTCATTTCGTTCGGAATAATACGTTTAATTCAGAAGAAGCAATCAAGATTGGTTCGGTGAAAACAATAAGACAGAACGATAAGATATCTGTCAGTTATCTGTCTGGATGAATAAACGAAATTCAGTTAGCCAATCTAGCCCCCAAACCTTTTGCATCAAAATTCTCTCATTCGCGGCTTGGATAAATGCGGGCTGTAAGTCTCCGTTCTGTCCATTGAATTGGCTGTTTCTATTCACCCCATATCCAAACCCATTTGCCAAGACACCGGGTACCAACCGTGCTGTATTTTATTTTTTAAATCATTGCTATCATTTAGAGAAATCATTAACAGATTCAGTGAAGAGACAGAACAATAGTGCAATTTCCAGGTTGCCTTTTTTGTTCACTCAAGTGTCAGCCAGATCTACTCTCACTTCAAATGAATTGTTGTGGGAGCTATACCCATACTCCAAAATTCTCACTATGGTCGGGGGTGGTTGTCAAGGGTTGCGGCTGGTCACCCTTCCTTTGCACCTGGTGAAATACTCCCATAAGACCGAGCGTCTCAACTAGCCTCTGTTGAGGAAGCCTAACTTACTGCCTTCTCGTGGCGGAAGTGTTTTCCCCCAACGTGAGAAGATGAAGAGCTGACATCCGGGGCTTTAACGGGGTTGGTGGACCACCGGTAGTACACCTAAGGGAGTTGGCCAAAAACCCTGATTCCAAGCCAACCATGAAGAGGTGTACGAACAACACCCACACCTTTTCGGTTGTGACAGTGGCCATTGGCTCGATTGGGCATTGAGGTGTATTGGGCACCTTTAATCCGTCCGAAAGGCGAATGATCCGATGAACCGGTGACCGGCTCCCAATGGATTACGGTTTACAAACCGCCCCGCTGCTTTGCGGGTCGGGCTTTGGCTAGCCGAAGGCTCCGATTGTGGATTCCTCAGGAGAGTTCACCTGCCTTGACCTGGGCAACCTGACAGTATTCAGCCCACAAGCCAATCATGGAACATTTTTCTTTTTATAAAGATTATTGTACCATGATTTGTTTGGCACATAGTCTGACCCGAGACGAGTGTGAAATATATATTCACATATACCCATATTCAGCATGCAAACAATATTACTTCTTCATCTATCACTGCTCAGTAGTGGTTATGAAAACTAAGTTCTTTGGGTCAATCACTTCGAGAGATGTGTAGACCTTCAATTATTGAAGGAAATGTTAAAGAGGAAATGTTCCGAGCTTCGATTACGTAAATGCAATCTCGAAAGCTTCAAAAAATCGGAGGGAGCCGCTGCCACTAACTCTATTCACTGTTAAAAATCTTAATCTGCATTCATCAGCAACGGGAACAATTTGTTCTGCTTCTACCACGATAGCTTCCCTTTAGTTACATAAATGAATATATATATTCCATCAGTAGTATGTGTGCGACTTAAAAAATTGCATGGAAATACATGGCCGGTTTTTGGTTCTTGCCGCTCTTCAGGCATTTGTATCCGGTTATCCTTTGTTAGTTCACGATTAAACGTGTACCCAGGAATTATATTTTTGACTCAACTATCTTAGCTGCAACGCCGGGTATATTTGCTTGTACAGCCCTTTCAGAACCATTCCATTGATGAATCAGCACTATGACACGATATTTTGCAGGTGGATTAGATGCTACTAACCTGAAAAACTTAATTTAAGTGTCTTGCCAGAATATTTTACCGTGTATAGTATATTGGGTGTTTGTGACGAAAATACACTTCCTGGGTATAGCTATATGAATGAACCGACAAAAAATGATCGAATGCGTGTTTGACGAGCGGCAAGAACCGTGAAACCGGCTGTACGCGTCTGAGAAGATTTGCCCAGTCGCTCACATATTCATGCTTAATGTACTTGCCCGTTCCACGTGCGTTTAAAACATTCACATGGAAATAATTGGGTTTATCTGAATATGTCTCGTTTCGAACCGTAATACATACCATGACGTCATATTCGACTTCAGAAGTTAGTATCGTACCTTTAAAAATCATATAAATGTCTCACGAACTGTAGAGCCGTGCTGGATTTAGCTGTATTCTACTCTGTTTCAAAATTGCACACAAGCTTTCCTACAGACCATTTCACGTGATATGTATAAAAAACGATTCATTCTATAGATGAACTGCATTTATTGCCTTGTTGCAAGGCGTACATTCAAGTACAGTCAAGATTTTTTTCGACTGTTCTTCAAGTCACAGTGAAGGATATTTCAACAACGGTTCTGGAGATTGATGTGACTCTCTCTCGCGCTCTGTCCATTATTCATCTTGGTTTATGATGAACGTAGCGCATCCAAGTCGTCAGAGCGCAGCAACATTTAAATTGTTTGATTTTGTTTTTTGTATGCATAAAATACATACTTCCGATATCTTATGGAGTGTATTTGCTTAGCCTGACACACAATTCAAAGATGCTTTCTTATACGGAATCGTGTGACAATGGTTTCTTTTCAGAAGTAGATTTGTTTCTGATAAGGTTCAACAACAGTGATATCCGATATTTAACGTTCGGGCACTACGTGTGATCCGCAGTGTGCATATAGTTAATTAGATCAATCACTCGGCAACTGTAACCATACTCGTTATCGTACCTGAAAAGTAAAAGTTATTGGGATTTTCTTTCAAATGAAAATATTGATCTCACCAAGCTATCAATTTGACAAATGTGTCATTCAATGCAATCCCGGCTCCCGCGTCGAAAATGGAAGAAGCCGAACAGCCACGAAAGTCCATACTGACCACCTGATCTTCAGT